TGTCAACGTCCAGGGGATTTTAGCTGTAAGGGTGAGGACCAGGCAGAATAAGGCTTCTCCACCTTGGCAGAACCAGAAGTCCTTGCTATCAGGATTTTTCAAAGCTCCCCGGGTGATTCTAACATAAAACAAAATTTGAGAACCACAAGGCCAACAAGAGAACTTTGCCCTCCCTTGTTTGAATGCCCCTTAACAAAGAAAGGAATGCCCTTAAGCCAGTGGTCGGCAAACTCATTAATCAACAAAGCCAAATATCAATAGTACAAGGATGGAAATTTCTTTTGAGAGCCAAAAACCGACTTCTGCGCATGGGCCACAAAGTTTCAATCGCACTGTACGTGCACACCTGCATGTGGTATTTTGTGGAAGAGCCACACTCAAGGGGCCAAAGAGCCGCAGTTTGCCTACCACTGCCCTAAGCAGACTGCAGGCTCTGTGGTGTCTGGTGAGGGTAGAGATGAGGCCTGGTCCCCTCAAGAAGATAGAAAGTGCTTAGAGCCACAGAAATGTCCCTTGGTTGAATTCAACTCCATATCTACTTATTTGGCCAGAAGAAAATGGGAAGGGTGTTCTCAAGCCTGTGGGTCTGGAGTCAGTCATGCAAGACCTTGTTGATCCATTTCCGGTTCTTGTGGTTTTCTCTGCTGGACTCTTCCTGTCTGAAACCAGGGAGGTAACGCTCAGTCTCTATGCAGTTACCCAAGAGGCATCCTTATGGCACCGTTTTCTTGCCTGACTTTCCCAGAACTCATGAAGCAGAGTTCTATTGCTTCTTCTGTGACTCGTTTGGTTCCTCATTGTTATTTTACAAATTTGTGCGAAAGCAGAAGCCCAGAGGACTAGAACTTCTTTCAGAAGCAGTATCATGGCCCTTCGGATGCTAAGGCTCAGAACATTGGCAGATTCTAGAGTTCTACCTCAGGAAAAGAACGCTGTTCTAGACTGTGCGCTGTTCCATCGGCTGTTTGGCATTCCTGACTGTGAAAATGAAACCCTATGAAGGGCTCTGAGGCTTCCCCCAGCAGCGGGCCTCCCCTGAGGGGCACATCAGAATCACTGCGGGCCTGGGAGACCACACTGGTGCTCCCATCCTCCTCCCCACCACCAAAGACATTCTGATTAATTGGGAGTGAGCTTGGGCATCAGGATGTTTTTAAAGCTCCCCAGGAGATTCTGACAGGCAGCCAGGGCTGAAGGTTTAAAAACCAGGGATTTTGCCCAGTTCTGGGAAGAAAGAACAACAAAAAGGCAAGAACTGAGAAATACAAAGCAAGAAGCCTAGGAGACACAAATGCAGCATACCTCCCCAGGACACCTGCTCAGTGCCACGCCCAAGCTTGCCCCAGAACAGGAAGAGAGAAAGACACAGTCTTCGTCCTTTCCACCTAGATGGGTGGACAACGACAGCCAAGGCAGCAGTGCAAAGCCACAGCGTTCAACGGTGCCTTGAAGACACATAAAATACCTTAAAAATAAAAAAATGTGGGGGCGGTGGAGGGGGGGGGGGAGGAGAATGAGTGGAGCTTAGACAGGTGGTGACAGAGGTTCTGACCCAAAGGAGAAGCCGCTCAGTCTCTCGGTGCCCTTGTCCCACACGATGTCACTGCTTCTGGTTCACTCTGAACGCTGCATGGTGCTCAGACCCACCAGCACTCTTCTGAGCAGCTTTTTTCCTAGAGCGTCTATTAGAACCACCTGGGAACTCACCAATCACAGAGTCCTGGGAGCTTCCCCATCCACTGATTCACTCTGGGGAGAAGGTACACATGGGTCGGGTTTTGGGCTCCCTGGATGATTCTGTTGACCACCATTTTTCTCCCCTGTCCCCCCTTTAAACAAATTCCCAGGGTTAGGGGAACATGATTTGTAATTCTTGCTGGTTTCTGTGGACCAATTTTAAGCTATAACATGGTTTAACAATTGGCTTGCAAGATTCCTGAATATTAAAAACAGGCTCTTATGAGCTATTAAGAACTAGCCCCAGCATAACCAATACCCTACACTCCCCCTTTCCCACTGGTTAAGAACCACTACATTCCAAGAAAATGTAGCATATTAAAAAAAAAACAAAGCAAAAAAACAAACCACCTTTCATCAAATAGAACACCATTACTAGTTTGTATTGTGATTAAATTAATTCATTAGTTACTTAAGCCCATTTTATGCAGATAACTCTTAGAGAAAACTTGGTAAATAAACACTTGGGGGAGAGAGATCAGGCTGTCCAATGAGGCAGTGAGGACAATGGCCTCCCACCATGTCTAAATGGTAGGACTTTGCCACATGAGGTCACCCTCATACCTGCTTACTTATGTCTCTGGAAATCTGGAGCAAAATAAGTCTCTCCTTTGCTAAAAGAATGGCATTCTTAACTTTCATACCTCGGGCTGATTGTGAAATTACATCATACTTGTTCATGACTTAAAAGCAATTTTTACATCTTTTTTTCCTCCCCCTTGTAAAGGAGATTGATAATTTGTAGAAAGAGAGGTAACAAGGGCAAAGAGGCATTTTGGAATCACAAAACTCTGATTTAGCACAAGATTGGTTTTCCAAGCAGGTGAGCATGGACAAGATTTTTAACCTCTCCAGACCTGTTTCCTCATCTGTAATACTAGAGGCCCCCTAGTGGTCAGCATATGTTATAGCAAGAGATTGAACGAGGGGATACTTTGCATATTAGGCTTTTCTACATATAGATGGGAGAAAATACTGTGACTTCCTCCTCACAGAGTAGGAGTAGGTGGTTTCAGTTGGCATGCACTGAGCATCCACTCTGTGCCAGGGTCTGCACTGGTCACGAAGAAGGCTCAGACAAAGAAATCGAAGCTCCTGCCCTTAAGAAGCTCCAAGTTCAACCTCTAAAACAAATATCTAAACAAGAGAACAGGACCATCTCTTAGCTAAGTTTCCGTACTTGAGCATTCGTGTAATATCTGACACTCTTTAATACCTTGATAAAAATTCATCATGTGTAGTAGCTTTCTTGTTAGGAAATCAATGAAATGTTGGTCTTAATATTTCAATTCTAAGAGGCCTCTCCAAGCCTGGTCCCTCAGCCTCAGAAAGTTCTCGGGTGGAATACTATTGTTGAGAGAAACAAACAGTTACAAAGTGCTTAGCTGCAAGCAGCAGACTCACACTTACCTAGTGAAGGTGAAGACTCGCAGAAACACAAGGTCTGATAGGAGAGGGTGCCCTAGGCGTGGTTTCACTTGGAGGTCACTGTTGGCAGGGTACCCGCTGAGTTTTACACTCCTTGGTGGTCCAGCTTCCAGCTGGCTCCCGTCCTGGTAACAAATGTGGTTGCAACAGTGAGAAGCCACACGCCCCAAGGTTATGCCCACCTTCCAAGTAAAAAGCCTGTGATTCCCTCTGCACCAGGGCACTGAAGTCACATGCTCACCCCCAGCCAATCATGTGGCCAAACAGATGGGCTGCTCTGATTGGCTTAGCTTAAGTCACATGCTCCTCGTGGCAGTCAGCCCTCAGCAGCATCTGATGCCCATAAAGAAAGTGGGAGTTGCAGGGAAGGGAGGAGGGGAAATGGAGGCTGGAACGATTGGTTCCACCTGGGGAATGTTAGCTGGGCCTGGGCATGAGTAGAGATTTAAGGACAGGACAAATTGTCACAGGCAAGGTTCATACCTGGTCTTCATAGGCCCCTGTGCTACCCTGTGCCCTCTTCCAGACCAGCATGTGGAAGAAGGTTCACCTGCAGCTCTGACTTTCTGCCTGTGTGGTTTGGGGCAAATCACATTCCCCTCGATAAGCCTGTTTCCCTGCCTGTACCTCATCAGGTTGTTAGGATTAGTACTGCTCAGCAGTTCTTAGGTTGCAACCAATAGAATGAATGCTGCCTAATTAGCAAACGAGGCTGAAGCAGCAAGTATATATGAAGTCATCAGGGTAGTAGAGACCTTGGCAACCTGGAAATGTACCATAGGCCTCCCTGAAAAAAAGTGCATTCAAGAAAAAAACTCATATGCTGCACTGGCCAAATAAGATGTGTCTGTTGACACCATCAGCCTAAGGCCTCCAGTCTGCAACCCTTCTCTCCCGGAAAGAGCTCAAGTTCCTGCCAGCTCAGGGGAACTCAGACTCTAGTTTAGAGACCCAATTCTGGGCAATGGCTAGGCATTTAAGACTGTGTCTGGTTCTTTCCCAAGCCTGCAGCCCCCAGGACAGGACCCGGGACAGAGACACCTCAGAGTGCTCCCAAGCAGGTCTAAGGTCAGAGGTGGCTCAGAGACATTTGGTAGCCCATCAGGTCACACGGCTCACCAATGTGTGACCTCATGGACATCCGGTGATGGGCCCCTGGTCACAGGCTCCATCAGGAGGTGAGGGTAGTAGGTAGTCAGTCATCAGCTGAAATCTTCCAAGACTCAGAAACTTCTCCCTCAGACCCACAGTCACTAACTGGCCACCACGTCTAGCACTTCCTCATTTACAGCTTTCTAACACATCACCTCCACCTCCCCACCCCAGGAACACAGCTCAGGCCTCGTTTCCTTACCCAGGCGCTATCCACTGAGTCCCTGCTGACTGGGTCTGAGTGATCCCAAGGGAAGGGCCACATCCTGGTCATTTCTTGGTCTCCAGCTCTGGGCCTCAGCCATAGTAGATGCTTGGTAAGTAGATGCATTGTTAACCTGACTGGTGTGGTTCAGTGGTTGAGCGTAGACCTATGAACGAGGAGATCATTCATGGTTTGATTCCCGGGCAGGGCACATGCCCAGGCTGTTTGCTTGATCCTCAGTAGGGGACATGCAGGAGGCAGCCGATCAGTGATTCTTACCTATTATTGATGCTTCTATCTCATCCTCTTTCTTCCTCTCTGAAATCAATAAAAATAGATTTTAAAAAAGAAATCATTGCTACAGGTTGAGTGTGTGCCTCCCACTTTCTCCCCTCAAATTCATACATTGAAAGTCCAATGCCCAATGGTATTAGGTGGGGCCTTTGAGGGATGATTAGGAGATGAGGGTAGAGCCCTCAGGAATGGGATTAGTGCTTAAAAAGCCCCACACATATCCCTCAGCCCTTCCACCATGTGAGAACACAGCAAGATATCAGCAGTCTGCAACCCAGACGAGGGCCTTCCCCACAACCCTGCCATGCCGCCACCCTAATCTTGGACTTCTAGTCTCCAAAATTGTAAGAAATAAATTTCTACTATTTATAAGCCATCTGGTCTGTGGAATTTTTTTTATAGCAGCCCAAGCTACAGTAACTGTGTTTGCCTTTCTGGAAATAATTACGCTCTGAGTCAGGAAACCTGGACTCATCCACTGCCACGGCCCTCACCCTCCCCGTCTTCAGTCCTCAGCTTCCTCACCTGAGCAGGAGGGAGAGAATCACGTGATTTCCAAAGGACCCTCTGGTTCCTCCGACATCTTCTGGATTCAGTGACTGCAGAAACAGCTGCAATTTTGGCTGACATTGGAAGGCAGACGGGTGGAAATGGTCCCTCCACTCAGGAGAAGGCACACCTATGGGCTGTGCCTCTGGAGAGGGCAGGCAGTGAGGGGAGGGCAGGCAGGGAGCCGGGGCAATCAGCAATGATGCAGCTGTGGGCAGGTGCCAGGAGATGAAGTCAGACACCTGCTTGTCAGTTTCCCCCCTCCACTTAACTACATAACCCAAGCTGGCCTCTTAATCCAAGCCTTCATGTCCCACATGGTTCCTGGACAGATGAGCAAGCAACATGTCTGCTGAATTGGGTTTTGAACCCAGAGGAGCTAACGGAACAGGAAGCCATCCTTGGGGCTCTGAGATGATGTCACCCTCATGAGGAGAGGGGCCACCCACCTTCTATCCCTACTGCTCCCCACCCAGCAGAGCAAAAGGTGCTGCTACCTCTAAACCCAACTCCCCATCACCTCCTAAGGCAAGAAATCCAGACGGGACAAGAGCCGTTGTGTTAAATGTTTATGTGAAACTCTGTAAACGTATAGAGTGGCCTACGGTCGCCTGCCCCCGAGGCCTGGCTTGCCGGGCCACGCTCAGCACTTGGCGTAGATGGCCGCACTGCCCCGCTCCTCAAACTCTTCCTTGCTGACCCAGAGCTGCTGGAAGGCCTGCAGGGAGGCCAGGATGGAGCCCCCGGTCCACACGGAGGTCTTCCTCTCGGAAGCCGCAGCCACTGTGGGGCTGTCCCCGGGGCACAGGAGGCTCAGCTCCCGCTGGAAGCGCTCGGGGAAGCCCTCCAGCATGGTGCAGCCGCCGCACAGCAGCACGTTGGCGGCCATCTCCTCCTTCAGGCCGGCCTCCTGGCAGTGGCCCAGGCAGGCGGCCGCGAGCGCGGGCAGGCCCGGCAGGCTGCTGCCCACCAGCGCGGGCTTGAAGAGCATCTCTGCGCCCTGGAAGCGCTCATGGCCGATGGTGATGACCTTGCCGTCGGGGAGCTCGTAGTCCACGCGCAGCTCCTCCAAGGCCAGGCACACCTCCTTCTCAGGCTGCAGGGCCGCGTAGCAGCACGTCTTCTTGATGTGCTCCACGATGTGCAGGTGGTCGTCCGTGAACTTGTGGCCCGCCTCGTTGAGCAGCTGCAACAGGTAGTTGGTGAGGTCGCCCCCCGCGTAGTCGGCGCGGCCCACCAGGCCCGGCAGCACGTTGCCCTCCGAGATGGGCACCACGTGCGAGACGCCGTGCCCGCTCTCCACCACCATGCCCGTGGTCTTGCCGTACGAGTAGATGGACAGCAGCGACTGGGACGTCACGTGCATGGCGGGGATGCCGAAGGTCTCGAACAGGAGCTCGGCGTACTTCTCCCGGTTGATGCTGGGGCTGAGCGGTGGGTCGGAGACCAGCACGGCGTGTTCCTGGGGCAGGATCCGCATGGCCGTGTGGAAGATGTACTCCCAGATGCTCTGGACGCAGTCCCAGTCCACCACCACGCCGTACTTGAGGGGGTTCACCAGCTTCAGGGGGGCCTCCACGTGGAGCAGCTCGTGGCCCACGTAGGTGTTCTTGTGGGCGTCGCCCACCTGGGAGCAGCACCTGCCCACGGTGGAGGAGATGAAGTAGGTGGGCCTCGGATCGCCCGCGTAGCCACACTTGCAGTACTGCGAGCCCAGGTCGATGATGAGCGCCTTGACCCTGCGCACGTACTTGGGCTTGGCCTTCAGCTGAGTGGCTGAGCTTCTATCCCGGATGCCAGCCTCTGGGCCTGACAGCGTGCCTGCCTCTCCGGGGTCACCCTGGGCCGTGCCCGCGGGCATGGGGCTTGAGCTGTTCTTCGTTGCCATCTGCCTTCCTTGCTCACCTTTCTCGCTTCCACATCGGTGTGCTCAGTGGAGAGAAATGAGGGCCCACCTCCAGCAGGGCCTCAGCAGCCACTCAGGATTGTGATGTCACTGGGGGCTGGCACATTCCAGCAGTCAGGGGAGGCTGGGCCTTGGCTCCATGCTCTGTCATCCCACCCCCATCCGCCTCACTTGACTTTGCACAGGGCATACTAAGTGGCCAGCACCGTTTTAGAAACCCAAGCACACTTGGGTCTCAGAAGTTTTTTCTCCTGCTCTCTTACCTCCCTGTTCCTATTCTCCTATTCACTAACTGGACACTGTTCTCTCCTCTGCTTCTTGGTTGCAAGGATGATGCATATTTGAGCCCTTACTTACAGTAAGCCAGGCACTATACCAGACACCTCACATGTTATTTCACAGAATCCCACGAGGTAGGCAGAGCTGAGGAAATCGAGGCTCACAATTCCAATGACTTGCCCATGGACGGACAGCTCTTGGAGTGTTTGTACGTTAACCCAAGTTCATGCAACTTCAGTGCACCAAGTCTCCTAAAGACTGCGAGGGACCCAGCAGCACTCTCATTCCTCCAACATTTTAAGGGGTTTGTGGTGGGTCCAGCCCCGTACAGTCTGCTGGTGATAGACAGGATCTCAGCCACAACCAGAGCCCCATCTATAATAGGTGGGAAGAAGATGGAATGGACAAAAGGAGTTTGCAGGTGAAAGTCCATTGGGAGAGCAGAGGTGCCCAGAGGGGAGCACTCATTGGAGGGGGGCAGGCAGAAGGTTCCCTAGAGAGGTGATGCTTAAGTCGAGTTCTGGAAGAATCATGGGTATCTTCAGGTAGTTAAGAGTGGGAAAGACATCCCCCGCAGGAAGGACAGCCTGAGCAAAGGCTCTCAGGGGGTCACGGTGGGGAACTGCCTGTAGTTCAGGTTTGGAAACATGGATGAAGCTAGAGGGTCACGGAGACAACCAGGCAGGGCTCAAATGCTAGGAATAGGAAGGAGCTTGGATAGAATAGAAGACAGCTGGAGACTATGAAGACTCCATGCAGAGGACTGGTCAGATTGACTTCTAGATAACTTTAGGAAGATCTGTGTTTAGCTATAAAATGAAGGTGCAAAACTCTGAGACCTGAAAAGAGAACTGAAGAAATTCTTGTAAAACTCGAAGGTGGCCTAAAGTAGGGCTGTGATAATGTGGAAGAGAACAAGGGACAGATTCTAGAGAAGTTTAGAAGGTAGAATCTAATCTAACTGGTTGGTTTCCCAACTATCCTCAATGCAATCCAAGCTCTTATTCTGGCATTTGAGGCCTTCTCTGGTTGGCTCCTGTGCCATCTCTAGCCTCACAAACTGCATTTGCATTAGATTATCAGATCAGATGTAGAGAGTGAGGAAGAAAGAATAATCTACCCCTCTTCCCCCCAAAAATATCCACATCCTTAATCCCTGGAACCTGTGACTATTATCTTTGATGGCACAGGACTTTGCAGATGCGAGTTAAGGGGTTTGAGAGAGGAGGTTAAATACCCTGGAGTACACAGGGCTCACAGGAATTACAAGGATCTTAAGATAAAGACAGGAGGGTCAGGTCCGAGAAGATGTGGCAAAGAAGCAGAAGTCAGAGGAGTCTTTGAAGATGAAGGAAGGAAGGGGCCACAAGGAAATAAATGAGCCCCTAGGGTCTCCAGAAGGAACAGGGCTCTGTCCACACCTTGATTTTATCCCACCAAGACCAACTGTGGACTTTTAACCTCCATCTCAGAATTATAAGATAATACATTTGTGTTTTAAGCCATTAAATTTGAGATCATTCATGACAGAAGCAATAGAGGTCCCTCCAGAAACCCAGGACAGTGAAATGTACTAAGCAGCTGCAGATTTCTCAAAATTCAAGAGAGGGATTGAGGAGAAGGACAATAGGTCATTCTAAGTTAAATATGCCTTATCATGCAAGTTCTTCTGAAATAAAGTCAAGCAATCCAAGTTGGCCATGGAAATCCCTGAATAGCAGAAGCAAGTAAACTATTTTTCAAGTAGCCAGGCATTCAGAAAAGTGCTTTCCTAGCCTTTCAAAATTCTGTGCTTTTTCACCCTCTAGTCAATGAACTAAGAAGCTGAGATTTTGTTTCTGAGATGGCAGCTTAGCCACCTCCATCAGATAGTCATAAGGCTCATGAGACTGGACTTGGTCCTTTTCTTCACACACAGCCCACAAAGAGCCAAGAACACCCCCAGTGACCGTCTTAAAGGAGAAAGCCCACCATTGTAGTGACCGCCTCTTTTATGAAAAAAAGTGACTGCACAACGTAAGGTTGGATTCTGGGAGCCTTGAGGGTGGCAGGTGTCAGCACCAACATACCCAGCTTCAGAGATGGCATGGGAGACCTATGTCAGGTCCCATCAAGGTGTGTCCACAGCACACCCCTGGGAAGAAGTCGTAGTTAGGAGAGCTTGGCCACGGCTGGCTGGACCATCCTTGGGTGAGTTACGCACCTAAGAACCTCAATGTTGTCATCAGTGGGACTCCGTAGAGTCAAATTTCATTGCTGAACCAAAGACCTAACTAAAGGATCAATATGTGTACAAATACGTGTCCAAAAATAATTCCTCTGCAGATTGTCCCAAGGAACAAATGAGACTTAAGTTTTGGGTACAAGAACCACAACAGCAATTATTTCTGCTAAAATCTAAGTCAGATGGTGTCAACTTCCTGCTCAAAATTCTCTAGTTTTTTGACCTCATGCAGAACCAGAGCCGAAGTCCTAGCACTGGCCCTCCCTACCCCCTAGTTCCTCCATCTCACATGCTGTTTCTCACTCTTCCCACGCCAGCCACACTCATCTTTTGGGGATCTTCTAACTTGGGGGCTGACAATTTTTTTCTGTAAAGGGCCGGGTGGTCAATATTTACTTTCTACTTTGCGATTCATTACAGTCTTTGTTGCAATAACTCAACAAACGCAGCCATAGGCAGTCGCTGTGCTCCAATAAAAATTTTCAAAGACAGGCTGCAGGCCCTAGTTTGCTGACCCCTGCTCTACCACATCAGATGCACTTCTGCTTCCAGTCCTCTACATCTTCTACTGGGATATACACCCGGCATTCTCCCCCTCTTTTTGTAGGTCTTCACTCAGTCACTAATTAGCATATACAGTAAGCTCTAAAAGGACCTACAATTTTCTTTTTCTTACTCTGCCTTGTATTTTCAGCTGCTTGAACACTGCAAGCATTCAATAAATACTGACTGGATGACTCAGGCTTATTACAAAAACGAGAAAAAGGTAAATCTCCATAAAACACTACCCAAATCAACCCTACATTGGAACAAGGTTTCCCAGGATCCAGAAAGCCCCAGGTCACTAGGTTATGTCATAATCAGTGATGTCATCAGTGCGGACATTCTCAAGTTGCCTTCTGATTTCAGCCTTTCCTGCCTTGAAACCTGTGGATTCCAGGAACTTTCCGAGAGCGAGATGGCTCTCAATAGCACGTGGGCTCCACAGGCAAGGCTCATAGGGGATGGGCCTGACAAGGGGAGGGGTGAACAGGCCCCCCAGAACACAGAGGCCCTCCCAACGGCCTCCCTAAGATGTGGCCCAGCGAAGCGTGCGGTGTGGGTCAACCGGAACTGTCTGGAACCAGAAGAGCCCACGAAATCAGAAGCCAGGGAGAAGCCCCCGGTGAAGGTGACCAAGGCGGTGGTCGTGGACCTGGGCACTGGCTACTGCAAATGCGGCTTTGCCGGGCTGCCACGGCCCTCCCACAAGATCTCGTCGACAGTGGGCAAGCCCTACATGGAGACCACCAAGACTGGGGACAAACGCAAAGAGACCTTTGTGGGGCAGGAGCTCGTCAACCCGGAGGTTCGCCTCAGGCTGGTGACCCCCCTGCAGCACGGCGTCATCGTGGACTGGGACTCGGTGCAGGGCATCTGGGAGTACATCTTCCACAAGGAGATGAAGATCGCCCCGGAGGAGCACGCGGTCCTGGTTTCAGACCCGCCGCTGAGCCCGCACACCAACAGGGAGAAGTACGCCGAGATGCTGTTCGAGACCTTCAGCACGCCCGCCATGCACATTGCCTACCAGTCCCGCCTGTCCATGTACTCCTACGGCAGGACCTCCGGCCTGGTGGTGGAGGTGGGCCACGGTGTGTCCTACGTCGTCCCCATCTACGAAGGCTACCCTCTGCCCAGCATCACGGGGCGGCTGGACTATTCGGGCTACGACCTGACAAACTACCTGATGGGCCTGATGAACAGTTCAGGGAAACACTTCACCGAGGCCCACAGGGGCATCGTGGAGGACATCAAGAAGAAATGCTGCTTCGTGGCCCTGGACCCCATCGAGGAGAGGAAAATCCCAGAGGCTAAGCACATGATCCAGTACACCCTGCCCGACGGGCAGCAGATATACCTGGGCCAGGAGAGGTTCCTCTGCTCAGAGATGTTCTTCAAGCCTTCCCTGATCAGGTCCATGCAGCTGGGCCTCCACACCCAGACAGTGTCCTGCCTGAACAAGTGCGACATCGCCCTCAAGCGGGATCTCATGGGGAATATCCTGCTCTGCGGGGGGAGCACCATGCTCAGTGGCTTCCCCAACCGTCTGCAGAGGGAGCTGAACAGCCTGTGTCCCAATGACACCCCCCAGGTGAACGTGCTGCCCGAGAGAGAGACTTCGGTGTGGACGGGTGGCTCCATCCTGGCATCGCTCCACGGCTTCCAGCCACTGTGGATCCACCGCTTTGAGTATGAGGAACATGGGCCTTTCTTCATCTACAGAAGGTGCTTCTGAACGTCCTGGATGAAGCATGGACGCTGTGGCTGCCAGGGGTCCGCGTTGCTGGGTGAGCACCCACCCCACACATAGGCCCGGCACGTTCATTCCGACAGCATTAAACACTCTGTTCCCCTCCACAGTGTGTCCATTTCCTGACTTAATGAGAACAACTCCATAAATACAGCTCTGCCTTGAAATATAAGTTTGCCAACACAAAGGTGGAGGTGGGGGGTGGAGGGACTAGCTCTAAAATGGTGCTCTCTTATTTTCCATTTTAGGAACTACCATATTGTTAAGATCTGCTTGGAAGGGGAAGTATGATGGTAGATTATATGCTGTTGTGACACATAAGAGCCCCCCTTTCTATTGACAGAATTACCGATGTCTCCCATTTCCTCTTTTGCCTCCTTCCACCCAGTCCCTACCCCATCCCAGGCCTTCACTGCACTACTGTGTCCGTGGGCTACGCATATATTAAGTTCACGAAGATCCCTTCTGGTGAACACCAATAGGAAGTATGTTGTCAAGGTTCAGTCTCCCACAAAGCACCTAAACACCAGTGTCCGGCTCCAGGAGGGGATCATGAGTTGCTAGATTATCTTAGACTTCTCTCTTTCACAGGACCCCAAGTCTTACTATATGGTCTTGAGTCTCTTGTAACCCACACTGCCCCCCACCCTTACCCCACAAAGACACATGCTCAAGCACTCACAGGGGAGCTAATGGCATCCCTACCACCCCCAGGGAGTAGCTCTCCAGAACCACCCTGAGCCTCCAGGTTTGCCTGGACTCACCTGAAAGACATACATGGCAGACCCTGGGCCCTGGCGTGGTGAGGAACACTGTTGGCTGGCACCTCCGAGCTGGAGTAGGGCAGCTGATAGCCCCAGACGGGCACCTGCAGTGTCTACAGTTCAGCAAGGATGACAGCCTTACCTCAGTATTGGGAATCAGCTAGAGTGGGTACACTGACATGAGAAAGAAGTATGTCCTGCTCACGTCAGTTTCTGCCCAAACCACTCGCGTGTCAACACTGCATGAACGTTCACTGATGGGCAGGTTGAAGTGTGGCTAATTCTTAACCTTTGGACCTCTTTGGCAGGGTGATAAAGCCTATGTACCTTCCTCTAAGTAATATTTTAAAATGGATAAAATAAAATAGGAGACCACAGAGGAAAACAATCATATAGACACATACTATCTTCAAATCCTGTAAGGGTCTAGGAACAAAAGTCAAGAACCCTGGAAAGGGAGGGTCCTGATGAAGGGGAGGCAGGGGAGGTAGCTACGGAGAATGGGACTCTGCAGGCCTCCCGAGGCCTAAACATTATGCTGTATTTTAAAATGAAAGGATGTAAGGCTAAACACCTGCAGTCTTTTCCAAAGACTTTTATGAATTCCCTCACTTGATCCTTACACAATCAGCCTTGTAGAAAAAAAGAATACTCATAATGAGGTGAATATTTGCCCTAGCCAGTTTTGCTCAGTGGATAGAGCATTGGCTTGCAAACTGATAGGTCCCAGGTTCAATTCTGGTCAAGGGCATAGGCCCAGGTTGTGGGTTCGATCCCTAGTGGGGGGCTTGCAGGAGGCAGCCGATCAATGATCCTCTCTCATCATTGATGTTTCTAATTTCCTCTCCCTCTTCCTTCCTCTCTGAAATCAATAAAATATATATATATGAAAGAGGTGAATACTTTTACTAAGTATTTGAAAATTATCTTAGATTAGTGGTTCTCAAATAGGGGCAACTTTGACTCGTAGGGGACATTGGCAATGTGTAAACATGTTTCTGGTTGTCATAATAGGAGTGGGGAGTACGAAATACTGGCAATGAGAGAGTAGAGGCCAGGGATTTGTTTAAACACCCCACAATGTGCAGGACAGCCCCCTACAACAAAGAATGAAATGTCCCAAAGTGTCAAAAGTGCCAAGGCTGTCCAGGTCAGGTGACTCAGTTGGCTGGGGTATCATTCTGTAAACCACACAAAAAAGATGTGGGTTCAATTTCTAGTCAGGGCACAAACCCAGGTTGTGACATGAACTTGCTTTGGGGGGGGGGGGGGGAAGAGCTATATACTCTTTTCTAAAACTTCACGAAATCCTTCCCCAGAAGGAGGCATTCACCACTCCCAGGAGTTCCTCCTTTTCCCATACTGCATTCTTCCCCAACTTTACTTTGAAAGGTCTGCTCCCGCCTGCTACTTCTCAAAGTGAACAAAATTCCATCTTTCTCCGATGAGAGATAGTAATTGATAGTAAACTGAATTGAAAGAATTCACACAAGTTTCTTTCTTGATGCTTCACTACATTATTTTAAGAAAACTGACCATCCACGAAATCACACCATTATCAAGACACATTTACTTGTATTTCCAATCCATCAGCAAGTCCTTTTACTATTACCCATACCAAGAGCACTGAGAGTTATTAAAATGCCATAGCAGTTATCATGCTCATTTATCCATGCCAAAGGGAAGTCACAAAGCACTTTCAGCCTTTCAGTGTTGGGAACTTAATTACAGCAAATCCATATAGGTATGAACCAAAAAGCCAGTTTCTCTTAAGCAGGATATACATATCTTTATCTCTTCTTTTTAGTTTTATTTGTGAAAATTTTCAGACACATGGAAAAGTTGAATTACACAGGGAACACACCTAGATTCTACACCTAACATTTTGTTATATTAAGAAAAGTCTGAAATTCTAATTCTGGATATACCTATACTCAGAATCAAAAGCAGCATTTCCAGTTAGTTTATGTATAGTGATGAAGATCTGGGTCTGGCACTAAAGGCATGGAAGAAATTTTTAATCTTACCTACGAGCCCCAAAACTAGCATCAAGATGACATGAGCATTCTCTAGACTGACCAAAAAGAGAAAATACTCTCATTACTTTCAAAGAAAATAACTAAAAAAAGAGGTCAGTTAGGTACCATACGGGGGGGGGGGGGGGGGGGGGGGGATGATGATGAAATGGTCTAGACACTGA